TCCGGCAACTAGAATGCTAAAAAAATGTTTAATTTAGTATCTTTCATTAGAACTTGTATGTCACAGTATCAGACATTGTAGTCCACTTATTTCTCCAAACTTAAAAACCTCATCATTCAAGAAGCGCGGACATTGGTTTCGATAACGCAGTGACTAATCTTAAATTGAGTTTGCAATAGATAAGATCGTTAGCTTTAACTTTATTTTATGATAAGCGTATGCTTACTTCAAATAGTCATCTAGTGAGGAAGGCGGACCTTGAATTAGAGATATGAACAAAGGTAGAGAAATTCTATGCAACAGGCATATGAGCTGTGGAAATTTAAAAAAAAACGCAAAATTTTGTCGCATTGTCAATGATAACGATTGGAAGTGCTATTCGTGGCGAAATAGGAGTTGTTTTCTAGTAGTTGATTTAGTGAGACTGCACTGCAATTTTTCATGGATTTGTCAGAAAATTTCTACATGCTTTTGCTAAATGAAGCAAATGGGTCCGATTGTAGAAAACATTAAGAATCTTGGAATTAAAACTCAGACTCTAAAGCCTTTGTAATCTGCATAACTCTTATGATGTCTGTAGGACCTTATTGCTTCCTTCTGTATCTTATATGTTATTCTCTAATCCATGACAAAGGGCTCAGCTAACATCATATATGCATTTTAGCATCTGGCTCTTTCTGCTGTAGCGCTTCAATGCATAAAATTTTATGCACGATAGAAGCAGTTCTTGTCCATCACAATCCTATTTTTTGTGTGCAGCGAATTTCGTTAAAGCCGTCGTTTTGGGAAATACTCGCATCTCAACTGTACTGCGGGGGTGTGCTTTATCTCCAGGAAGAAAATATTGAGTGAAGCTATCTATGAGATTGACTAGTTGCGTAGTTAGAGAGAAGTGCATAGATTTTGTAGGCTATAAAAACCTAATTTGTGATCATACAAGTCAAAATTGTAAATAAATGTAGCGAGCAATTCTCTCTGAAGTGATGCTTTTGCAAATTCCAACCCTTCTTTTCTATGGGAGAAG